AAAAAAAAAAAAAAAATCAAATGAAGGGTGTTAATTTTGTTATGGCAATAACATTCTTATTTTTAGTGATATCAAACATGATAATCATCACATCAAGTTCCATGATTTTGGTCAATCAACCAAAAGATGATTGTGTCGATAAATGTCGACGGGATTGTGTTGGCGGTGGTATTCCGAACATATGTCTCCAATATTGTTTGTACTGTTGCACACATCCGTGGACCCCACCACCAAAGACTCACCGCAAAAAAAATCCTGCCAAAATGAAAGATATGAATCAGAATTAGAGGTGTTGATTATGTTTGTGTTTTCTTAGAGAGGTGTATGATATTAATAGAAGTTATATTAAGAGTGCAACCAAAGATTTAAATAAGAGTCTCATCTTCACATTACATCCAAATCAAATTGTTCACTAAACTGTCACAAATGAACACAATCCGAATGTTAGTAAAAACTCACGTGCAATAACTTAATGAGCTTAAGGTAAATGGTTGGGCAAAAACTTTCAATTGGCCACCAATTCAAATATATATATACTAGTGGGGTCTCGTCTGTGCACGCACAGCCGACCCTAGTCCAGTCTATAACTATATTTAATATTTGTGAAATATTTTTTTAATTATTTTGTTTTAACATAATACTGAAGAAAGCGCGTTAAAAACCATAGTGTTAGTAGTCACTTCATAATTCTACCCCAAATCACGAGGTTATGTATAGAACTACGAAAACCAGGATTTTTAATCTCTGAAGAACATGAAATTTTGTCGGCATAAAAGAACAAAAGAGCAAGCCTATCACCTTAAATGCAATGTCCCTTGGAGACATAGCTAGACCTGCACCCATTGACCCAAAGGCACCTCGGCCTCGATAATAAACTCTCGGATCATAGCCCAATAGAGAAAGATGCGCAGTGCCACTGCCACAGGCCAGCCGAACTTCAACAGGATCCATTAGCCCATTTATTCCAGCAGATGCAATGGCATCCAAGTTAAGTACATTCGCTACTTGCAGAGGAGTCTTGTAACCGAAACGTGGTAGTGAAATATCTCCTAAACCATCAACCAACACGAAAGCTACTCTTCTCTTAGGCTCAGCTACGTTAGCCATTTCTTTCCCTTTTCAGATTGTGATAGCTTGTTCCTTTTATGTTTTTTTCTGAATTAAAAGGAAATGATCCAGTATTAATGACGACAAATTTCATTGCAAGACTAATTTTTCAATCTGAAGAAAATACTATTTTTCATTCTAAATCAAGGGTACATGCCCCATAAAGCATCTTTACGTACCTGTTGAGATTCTTGATTTCAGATATGAATAGTACTACCTACAAAAACAGGAAAAAAGAAAACACAATCACATAAGTGTGAGCATTCACTATGCAATAAAAAAAAATTATTGAAAAGAAAAAGAAGAAAGAACTCTTCACGAGTGACTATTAAGAAATAATTTCTGAACCAACCAAAACTTATTCACCGGGAACATCCTTACAGCACACAACACAGCACAATTCAATATGAGAAAACGTAAATGAAGAACACTGATCAAACATTCTTATTCCAACAGTATCAAAGTAAAACATGGCTTTGTACTCTGCAGATGCTTACTTAGAGCAAGATGGGTAATTTCAGAATCTGACACACAAATCGAGCGAGCTGAGAGTGTATGGAGTCTTAGGGAGCTGGGAGTGTACGGATAATAAAGTTCTGTTTTTAAATCAAGCATAAGCACAATTTTGGAAAATGGAAACATCAAGAGTCACTGCACGAGACACTGTAAAATAAAACAAGGATATGGTCAAAATGTGTGTTTGCACAGGCAAACGCCTCTTAAACGACTCCAAAACGCCGATCTACAGCGAAGAGGAAAATTTTTAATCAACTATCCACTGTTGAAAATCCCAAAGAACCTAATCACGAGTCGCCTAGCTAACTGGACCACACAAGATTAAAACAAATGATGTTAAAAATTGAACAATGGTGCCGCTGCTAAGAACCAGAAAAGGAAGGAAAAGGTAAAAAAAATGTACCATGATGGTTAAAGTGCCAGGATCATTATCAGGACACTCGGCTTTTAGGGCCTTGATATCAGACTACTGAATCTCAATTTCAATCTAGAGACCACATTCAAGAACTTCCCAGACAAGTTTATGCTCAGCAAAATAACACTTGCCACCAGATCACCTTCGTATGTCGATACATACTGCCAAAAAAACCCAAAGTCAGCAAGAAGGAGGATGTTTAATGGATCAGAATATTGGAAAGATTTTCATTAATACGGCTATGCTACATCATTAAGTACTCCTAGTTCAATACGACAAATTGAACTAACTGATAAACGCATTGCGCTTACTTGTGACCAGGACTAATCAAACATCTGATTAACTTTACTGCTACATGGACATGAGATTATTCATTTTGGCCGAATATAACAAACAACTCACCAGAAGCATTTAGGCACAGCACGCTCATTCATAAGAGCATGTAAGTTAAAGTTCAGAAGAAGTACCTCCCAGCTACTGATTCTCAACAGCAAAGCCAGAAATTTCAAAGCCTTCAACCTGTCATTAGATTACACACCCAGGATTTCGCATTGGGCAAACCATAGAAGACCAAATTCAAACTGAAGCTACAACAATATGGATCTAAATAAAATAATCATATCCGTGTTAACAGAAAACATTACTGAAATTACATCACAGTCCATCGAGCACCTCAAAACAACATCAATCAAGAATTCATCAATATTTTGCATCACCAACCATAACTCAGGACATCCTTAACCTCCACGGAACTTAGGACATCCTTACAACGTGGAGGCTTTTCAATATTTCTGATCACGCGTGAAGAAAAACATTAAAAGCTAACTAACACGATAGTGTAGTAAGTAGGTATAACAATTTGAGATTAAATTAAAGGGTCAATTCATTTGAAAGAGTTTAAAGGTAACTGATCTCATTTTGGAGCCACATCATGTGCTTTTTAGTTAATTTAAAAGATGATTTTACACCAAAAAAAAAAAATAATAAAAACTTACCTATTTTCCTCTACATCATATTTTTCTCTACATCATACTTTGCATGAAAGTATCCATCACAATAGATTCTTAAATGGAAAATGGTTCATACAGAAGCAATCAAGATATATATAAATACCCTGCAAAAAATACACAAACATAACATCAATAGAAAAAATACACAAATACAGCACCAATACAAAATATACACAAATGCAACACCAGCCCTAAATCCATCAATTCATATTCTCACCATATGGTGACAACAGTTAAGATACAGAATCTCTTCAACTCATCCAGCCATAACCGGAACACTGTAAGTAAATTACCTTTTCCCTCTAGAAAATTAACAGGTCGAATTGTTACTCTCTATCCAGCGCTGTCCCGTACAAGAAACGACCACCCTAGCCTGTCGCAAAATATTCACCAAATAATCTAAAGCACAAGAAATATATTCGACCTCAAAGCAAAGAACGCATAAAGACAAAAAAAAAAAAACAAACTGAAAGCTCAAATCCTATAAAGTGAAAAAAAAAAATAAATAAATAAACAGGAGTAAACGAAGTACCCGTGTTTCCAGTAGACCAACTCTCTCAAGCGGCAGCGACCCCCACCGCCACATAAAAAGAGACGACTCCCATCTGCTTATCTCCGCGCCCCCACCATCACTACAACGTCACTTCCACCGACTGAACGTGGCTCAACTCAAACGATAATAGAAAAATGCACGGATTTAACATTAAATATATATATATATAAACTCACGTTATAATCAGAACCGATATGTGACCTCGGAAAAGGCAACAGCTTCTTCCACTCCTTACCCGTCCTCCCATTAGCCCCTGCACCAATTTCAACCATATCTTCTAGGAATGAACTGCAATCACAATTGGATTCTCTTTTTTCCTCACAATCTCCTTAATTCTATAAAAGCAGAAAATGCAAATGGAATTCTAGTGAAAAGGAAAAATTACAGCAACAGAAAATGGAATCGAGAGAGGCCTCGGGGATTGACGATGTCTCGGCGGCGGCGCCTCCGCCAACAGATCCCCCACCATTTGAGCCGAAAATTCACAGGCCCAAGCCAATAAAGTTTGATCTCTGACAACGATAGATAGAAGGAAAAAATTATAACAAAGAGAGGCTACAAATATCACTGATTTTTGGTATTAAACTAAGAACCTCAAGAAATCGGTGCAAAGGTAAAACTCACGTAAAACTCACCAGGGTTGTTGGGCAGGGCATTGTTCGGCGGGCAGAAGTTGGTTCCAGTCACCAGAATCAAACCGGGGAAGCACGACTTGCCGCCGCTCAGCCCGTTATTGAAGAGGGTTGTGCTCAGTGCCGCCGTGTTTATACCGTAACCTTGGCTGTACAAATTGTCGTTCCCGCACGCGCCGTCTATCCAAGAATCCATAGGAAATTAACATAGTGATCAGTGACAAGGCAAAATGCAACCTTCAAGATGTTTGTAGAAAACAAACCATGGAGGCGATGAATGAGTAGTACATGATACCATGAGAGGTCGAGGACTCGACCGTCTTTGCCACCCCGTCGGGTCTCCTTCTCTCTATGTCGCCGGCTCGCCGCCCCATCGGGTCTCCCTCTCTCTATATCCGGCTCGCCACGCAGATCTCTCTGCCTTTTCGCCGTCGCAGGTGCTCCTTGTAGTGGCCGACCTTCGTCCGTAACCTTGACCCCACCGCATTCTTTGGCTTTCCATTTTTTATTTATTTTATTTTTTTTTAATCTGAGGAGATGATTTTTGGAGAAGATTTTTGAGATCTGAATAGACAGACATTGTACTGGACGGTCAAAGCAGAAAATGGGAGATTTGGTAGAGACTTAACCGGGAAGAAAAGGGATCACCTTAGGGTAACAGTGTAAAAAGTGGCCAATTGCAGGGGTATTTTGGTCCGTAAAAAATGACACGTGTCAAGCCTCAAATCCCTTACATTTTTGCTTATATGTAAGGGAGAGATTTTTCTTTGTTGGGTTAGTCGGGAAGGCCTAACACCCGTGGCCCATTTCACATCTCTATTTAAACTAATCATCAGAGTTTATTACCAATAGCTAGTAAGAAAATGAGAGTTTATTACCAAAAAGTATTAAGAAAATTACATCGTTCACCTATAAATTTATTTTGATTTTTACATTACAAATTTTGTATTTAAATTACAAACTTGATAATTTTCATTGTTTGTGAATTGTTGAATCTGTCTAAATTTTTGAGATTTATTGGGATTTAATATATATATATATATATATACATATGAAATCTCATACCAAAATTCACCTCCAAATATTAGATTTCTAAGAATTCCACTGAAATCCACAAGTCTTAAGGGGTGTATTCGTCTTATAATTTTTAAGTATATTTCAAGACTTTTTAGTCATGGAGTATTTATTTGAGATTTTAAAAAGTTTTACAAAATTATGAGATATTTAACTTATTTGAGACTATGATTTGTTAAGACTTTTTAAATTTCTAGAAATTCGAAAGAAAAAGCCATAAACGAAATTTCACTACAAATCTTACCTTCATACATAACATTTCATAGGATTACTCCTAAATATGAAAATCTTACGATGCCTCAAAATCTCAAAAAGTCTTAAATATCACTCAAAATTTCAAACGAAAAAGCCTCGGATTATTAAAAGTTTTTAAATATCACTCTCAATACTGATGCACCCTCCTTAAAAATTATTGATTTTAGTAAAATCCTTAGGGCATACTTGAATATAATATTTAATGGTTTTGTTTGATTTAATTTTTTTAATTTGGTTTGGTTAGTTTTGAAAAATGTGGTATAACTCGTTGTAAGTGAGATTTTGAGTTTATAATAAAATAATAATTAAAATAAAATAACTAAAGTTGATGTATGTAAAATTAGGAAATAGATGATGTTAAGTAATGGCTAGTTAAAATTATGTGAATTGATAAATAGTGAATTAAAATTGATGTCATGTGTAAAAATAATTGATTGATATTATTTAAATATATTGATAATGCTGAGTATAATTGGGTTAAAGTTGAGCTAAGTTAAAAAAAAAAAAAAAAAAAGAAGTGATGATTAAAAATGATTAAATTTTTTAAAGATATCTTGTATCTAAGCATCCTAAAAATCTAAAGTCCATTGAATTTGGTGGTGCAATTTTGTATATATAACTTGTGGTTGAAATCTAAACAAAACTTAAAAATTCCTATCAAATCATAGTGTTAAATAACAATAAACACATAATTCTTTCATAACAAATCCGACAAATCTTGATGGTTGGTTTTTTGTAATGCAATTTTCTAACTTATCAATACGCACAATTCAGAAGAAGCTTTAGCCCTCTTTAAAACCCAGTACAAAATGCTTCTTCACCCATCACCACAAAAAAAATAATAATAATAATTCAGAAGAGGCCTTAGCCCTCTTTCATAACACATAATTTTTTCATAACAAATCCGAACAAATCTTGATGGTTGGTTTTTTGTAATGCAATTTTCTAAATTATCAATAAGCACAATTCAGGAGAGGCCTTAGCCCTCTTTAAAACTCAGTACAAAATGTTTCTTCACCAATCACCACAAAATAATAATAATAATAATAATAATAAAAAACCACCAAAGAGATCCAAAAAAAAGAACAATGCAAATGAAGGGTGTTAATTTTGTTATGGCAACAACATTCTTATTTTTAGTGATATCAAACACGATAATCATCACAACAAGCTCCGTGGTTTTGGTCAATCAACCAAAAGATGAGTGTGTCGATAAATTCCAACGGGAGTGTGTTGGCGGTGGCATGCCGAACATGTGTCTCAAATATTGTATGTACTGTTGCACACATCTGTGTCCCCCACCAAAGACTCATCGCGAAAAAATTTCAGCCAAAATTGAAGATAAGAATCGGAATTAGAGAAATCCCTTTGATAATGATTGTTAGGATAATCTTTTACATAACTTTGGTGGATTTGATTATGTTTGTGTTTGTGTTCGTGTTTTTTTTTTTTTTTTTTT